GGATTTGTAAAAATGGAGAAGAGAAGATGAAGGACTGAACCCTTGGGTATTCCATTATTAAGGAGTCAGGAGAAAAGAGGAACTCACAAAGGATTGGGAAGGAGCCACTAGAGAAGGAAAAAAACAAAACAAAAAAACAACAGTAACAGGAGTATGGTGTCTTGGAAGCCAAGTGAAGAAAGTATATCAAGAAGGAGGGAGTAGTCAGCTTGACAAATACTGATGATCGATTAGGTAAGATGAAGATTAAGAATTACTATGGGACTTAGCAACTTGGAGTATGTTGGTGACCTCAATAAGATCATTTTTAATAAAATGATGATAGGAGGCTCCTGATGGAGTAGGTTTAAAAGAGATTGGGTCCTGTACAGAAGAATTTCAAATAATCTATGTAGATAGTACCCTCTCGAGGAGGTGGAGCTTAGCTCCCACCCTTGTATGTGGGTTGTGTTTAAGACTTACTTTCCAGGGTATGGAAAGAGGGAAAAAGTTACTTTACAGGGAAGAAACCTACCAGACACTACCTCGGTCAGGTGATCAAGAAGAACATAATCATTGGTAAGTGATAGTGATCGCCTGTACCTTTGATATGATGTAATGAGAAGGCATTTGTGATCTCCCAAAACACACTCTAACCATGAGAAAAAAATTTAAAAAAACCCAAATTGAAGGACATTCTACAAAATACCTGACCAGTACTCCTTAAAACTGTTAGGGTCATCAAAAACAAGGAAAGTCTAAGAAACCGTCACAGACCAGAGGAGGCTAAGGAGAGGTGACAACTAAATATAATGTGGGATTTTAGACCGGATCCTGAAAATGGTAAAGAACATTAGGGAGAAACCAGTGAAATCTGAATACAGTGTGTTGCTCTGTGAATAGTAATATACTAGTGTTGGCCCCTTAGTTGTGGCAAATGTACCATTGTAATGTAAGATGTTAAGAATAGGAGGAACTGGGTGTGGTGTATTTGGGATCTCTTTGCAACGATTTTGTAATATAAAACCATTTTAAAATAAAGTGTTGACTTAAACAATTTAAAGAACGGGAAGAGTGGAATTGGAGACAGCAAGTAGAAGACAACTGTTTAGGGAATTTTGTTACCAAGGTAAGCAAGGAAATGAGGAGGTAGTTGGCAGGAGAAGTGGATTAAGCACAAGTTTTTTATTTTGTTTTTTTAATAGGAGAAGTAACAGCATGTTATTTCTGATGAGAATGATGCAGTAGAAAGCAAAACGTTGATGACAGAGGAGAAAAGGGGAAATCTTTGGAGGAATGTCCTTGAGGAGGAGAGAGACTTTAGAATCTGATGCACAAGCAAAGGGATTGGCTTTAGGTGGTGTAAAGTTCATCTCTGGGAACAGATGAGGCTCAGCGTATGTGGATGCAGATGGTGGTGGCTGGGCATATGTTATGGTGGCAGACTCCAAATGCTCTGTTTGCTCAGTGAAAGATAGATCTTCAGCTGAAAGTAGAGATCCAGAGCAAATGTTGGGGTTGAAGCAGAGGGAAAGTATATCTGGGGGTATGGAAAAGAGATTTGGTTGGTACTCGATACTGTGGTTATTTTGTAGCCGTAAGTGCCCACTTTGGCTAGTGGATAGGAGTTAAAGTGAGACTAGTCAGAATGGTTGTATATTTTCTTAAGCCATATTTAGCTGGAGATACAATAAGTAAGTCCATATTAGTAATAGCTTTCAGGAAGTTGGTATATACTATACTTAATGCCTAATATTTATATTAGTATTTATATTTAATAACTGGCACTATATTGACTATTTCTTTGGTATGACATTGATGTTACTATCTCAATTATAAGATGATGAAAGATAGTAACTTTGCCTAAGGCCACATAATCAGTAGGTAGCTTGGAAATGAGATTTGAGATGTTTTGAAAGATAAAATTTTCTTTTAAAAAATAAGATTTGAAGTAAGGTTTGAAACCAGATTTCTTTTGTTCTAAACCTTTGCTCTTTCACTACATTAATGTAAAAACATCAATATCATAGAGGGAAAGGAAATAAACCAATTTATTAATCTCAGAATATTAGAGAATTACTTATGTTTGAAAGAAAATTTTAAGATGAATCAAAAAACATCCTTTATCTTTATGAAGAATGAATTGATAGACTTAAGATATAAATTGGATTTAAAAGTATTTATTATAGATGATAGACATAATACACCTTCACTTTATTTAAGTCTCCACTCAAATGTCACTTCCTTAAAGAGGCCTTCCTTGACCATCCTGAGACCTGCCATCACCATGTAACTGCTTATTTCACTTCTATTTCCAGGGCTAATTATTACTTGACATTATGGTATATGTTTCTCTGTGTATGTGGTTACATTTAATTTCCACAAGGCCAGGGACTTTGTCTGTTTTGTGTATAATTGTGTACAACTGTATTCTCATTCTTTGGCACATAGGAGTTCTTCATTGATGAAAGAGAGAAGAAAGAAAAAAAAGTAGGTAGTAGGTTCTTAGGGTAAAGTTAAGGAAATTAAGATTTCCTATTAGTGAAAACATGTTAAATATTTATATATATTTTTTATTATATTTATAATAGTGCCCCAGGAGACCTGAATAAATAACCAATGCTTTGCATTCAGCCTTTCTTTTGGATATTATTTAGATTGATGACCACATGGTTCTATCCTGTTATTTATCTCCCACATAACAATGTTCACTGTCCCCTGTTAACAGCAATGATATTGCTACTATTACATTAAAACATTTTATAATTAAGTCTTGTCAAAAATAACCCTTGTACTAGACCTATGAATTTGGAACCAGTAGTAGTTCCAAGTACTTCAGTATTTTAGGCATTTGCTTTGGAGATGGTAAAAAATGAGTAGTTGACCCAGCTTTTTGTATCTTTGCTGGGGTGAAATGGAGAAAAAAATTCCTTGAAATCCTAGGAGATCTTATTTTTGTGAATGAGAACCAACACTGCTATTTAGTTCTTCCTCTTGCAAATCCAACAGTGGAGAAGCATTGGGGGTGTGGAGAGGGAGCGTGACTTCTCATTTTCTTGCTTTGGTTAGTCCTTTTGGAGTGTCAGTGTCCTGAATTCTCTGCTTTGGGAAACAAGATAAGGTAATAGGTGACTTCCACAGTTTACTCTGTGCTGTCCTCATTAGATTTTCTCTGCTACTGGGAATGAGAGACAGAAAAATTGTCTGCTTCTTAATGGTTTTTAACCTAAGTGACTCCTGTCATTTAGTTGTGAGGTGATTGCTTGCTTTATAGTGTTCTTTTTTTTTTTCCCAGACAGTCCTCACAGAACTCTGCTTTATATAAGCATAACCAATACCTAATCTGTTGCTAATACCATGTCCTTGAAACACTGGTAAGGACAGTTTGGATTGCTGCAGTGATATATTTTTATAAGAGAGTGGGAAGTGAGGTTTAAAAATATCAAAGGAGCTCAAAACTCTGATGGAAGTTGATATCTGAAATTGCTTCGTTGCATCCTTAAGTTCAGAATTATCCCCACAGTATCTGGCTTTACATTTGTAAATGCCCTTGTAAGGATTTTGGTTAGCTGTCATTCAGGAGTAGAGATCACTTAGACCTCATTAACAGACATTATTCCCTTTGAAAATGACATGGTATCTAATGTAATCCAAGAGTGTTTTAATAGTCTATTCTATGCTCAGCAATGAAACATTTCAAAAGTGACTGACAGCCAATTGATGTAATTCATGGTGATCTTCTGTGTTGACAGATCTTTAAAAAGTCAAGGGAAATTACTACTGTACCCAGTGAAGCCGCCTCCTTTTTTTTTTTTTTAAACTGCCAATATCCTGCAAAACAGGACAATTTTCTCTTTGACTGCCACTGTTTTTTATTTCGATAACATGACATGATTCCTCCTTATTATTAGGATTTCTTTTGATAGATTGAATGTGTTCCCTATAGGTAATGCTGACTTTAAAATAGAAATTCTTCATTTCTCCAAATTAACTCTCTTACTTTTCTGACTTATACATCAAGACAATCTTGCCAGTAGCCACCTTCCCACTCAGGAAGAGGAGTGATTTAATTTAGACAATTTAAATTTTTAAAATGATTTTCGTCTTTCTCTGAGGGAGAAACATGTTAAAAGGAAGAGTGTGATGAATTGCTTATTTTGGTAGCTGTTTTTTCCTAGAGCACTGTACAGTTAAAAGTCTGATGTTTTGGGTAATTTTGTAGAAAGAGTATCTGTATCCAAAACTCAAGTCTCCAAATTCAAACTGTAGAATGAAGGGAAGGGGCTTAGTGAGGAATATGAACTTGTCTGATGAGTTGTGGGGAATAATACAAAGATCTAGTCCTGTTGTTGCCCTAACTTTTAATTTTTTTTTTTTTTTTGGAACTGCATCTCTGGTTTTCTGCCCTTTGTCCTCATGTTTCAAAAGTAGACATTTTCGTCACATTTTTCCAGCTGATTCTTGGGGAGTAGAAGGTACCTTTTTCCTTAGTCCAATCTATTACTAAAGCATTGTCATTATGCTTTGACATGTATTTTTTGAGAATGAACAGTGTGCTTTAGCTCTGTGCTGGTTTGCTGTTGGGGAGATGAGAGTGTACTTTCTGATTATAATCCTATTAATATTTTTGTTTAATATTCCGCAGTATAACACAATGACTTCTACTCAAGTATAATTCCAGCTTTTAAGCATTGTTTTGAAGTACCATTTGATTGTAAAATGTGTATTACCCCCCACCTTCATCTTCACTTCCAATTTCCCTTTGTGTCATCTATCCACTCTCCTGGCTGCCTCTCTCACTGAGGGAAGACCTAAGTTCATACATAGCCTTATACACGCAAACTCCCCGCCTGCCACAGCCCCACCACCACACACATTCTTGTGGAAATAAAAAGTTAAAGATGTGGGAAAGAGAAACAAAAAAAGGTTCTATTCCATTTTCTCTTTGTATTTCTTTTAGACTCTGGGAAATGTGAACAGTTTTCATAGTTGAAATAAGTAATTAGGTACCCCTCCTTTTTGAAATTTAGATTTATTTTTTACATGGAGTAGAATCAAAGCTTGGAGAGGTCTAGTTGATGGCAGACCCGGAATCTGGTATTTCAGCCTCATGTACCAAAGCGTACAGCACTCCACAGCCGCCATTTTTATGTTTATGCCAAAAGGCTCTGTCAGAAGTCATTTCGATGAGTCCATAATTTGAAGGTGGAGGACTTGGATTGAGTCGTAATTCCATTTAGGTTCTGTGATCTAAAGAAAATCATTTCATTTTTGTTTCTGTTTTAGTAAAAGAGAAGCAATAATTATGCCCACTTAACTTAGTTTTCCAGGTTGCTGGGAAGACAATGTAAGAAAATATATTGTGAACTACTTTGCAAACTTTAATTCTTTTTTTTCTAAATTGATTTGTTAACATAAAATAGGGTCCTTTTCACTTTTTACATAGTCAGAATAATTATGCTTAATCTCCTTAGCCATGTTTACCTCTGTCACTATAATAATTACTGTTTGTCCATGTTATTGTCGGGGGGAGAGAGAGAGAGAGAAAGGATTAACGTCACACTGAGAAAGTTGCTTCTTACTCAAGAAAACATACTTGTAAAGGAAGGGCTGTCCTGGGTGCTCTGTTTCTTGAGACCCTGTGACTATTTCTAGTCATCTGGAAGTCAGTGTTTTTTTGTTTGTTTGTTTGTTTTTATTATGTTCAGTTAGCCACTGTGTAGTACATAATTAGTCCTTGAGGCAGTGTTCACTGATTCATTAGTTCAGTATAACACCCAGTGCTCATCACAGCAAGTGCCCTCCTCAATACCCATCACCCTGTTACCCCCTCCCCCCATCCACCTCTCCTCTGAAACCCCCATAATGTTTCTTGGGGTCCATAATTTCTCACGGTTCATCTCCCTCTCTGATTTCTCCCCCTTTGGATTTCCCTCCCTTCCCCTATGGTCCTCCATGCTATTGCTTATGTTCTGCATATGAGTGAAACCATATGATAATTGTCTTTCTCTGTTTGACTTACTTCACTTAACATAATCCCCTCCAGTTCCATCCATGTTGATGCAAATGGTGGGTATTCATTGTTTCTGATGGCTGAATAATACTCCCTGTGTATATGTACCACATCTTCTTTATCCGTTCATCTGTTGAAGGGCATCTTGACTCCTTCCACAGTTAGGCTATTGTGGACATTGCTGCTATGAACTTTGGGGTGCATGTGCCCCTTCTTTTCACTAAGTCTGTATCTTTGGGGTAAATACCCAGTAGTGCAATTGCTGGGTCGTAGGGTAGCTCTATTCTTAACATCTTGAGGAACCTCCATACTGTTTTCCAGAGTGGCTGTACTAACAGTGTAAGAGGGTTCCCTTTCTCCACATCCTTGCCAACATTTGTTGTTTCCTGTTTTGTTAATTTTTGCCATTCTAACTGGTATAAGGTGGTATCTCATTGTGGTTTTGATTTGTATTTCCCTGATGGCTAGTGATGCAAACTGGAATTCTATCCTGACAATGAGAGTCATTCTTTTTCATCCTCCTCTCACAGTTATTTATAGATGACTTTTTATCTTACCGGTACTGTTGTTTTTAAGGATCGCTCTTGCTAGAAAAGGAAAGTAGTAGTGACAAAAGGATATTTAATCCTCAAAATAACTGTGTGAGTTAGAAATTACTATTAACAGTTTGCAGATAAAGAAACACTTAGAGAAGTTAAGAAACTTTCTTCAGATTAATAATTTGTAAGTAGTTAATTCACTGGTTTCTCTGACCATAATGCCCATGTTATTTCTTCCATAAGCTAATGTAGTTTGTTAATATCTGAAATCTATTCCAACATCTCACTGTTCCTTATGCCTAATTTTGAAACTTCTTCTTGCCATTTCAATTATTCTTGTTCTTTCTGCGGGAGTTCATTTACTTAATTCATTTGGCAATTATTTATTGCCAGGCACTGTGCTAAACAGTAGCAATTTTTGGGGTCCTGGGTGGCTCAGTCGTTAAGCGTCTGCCTTCCACTCAGGTCATGGTCCCAGGGTCCTGGGATCAAGCCCCACATCGGGCTCCCTGCTCGGTGGGAAGCCTGCTTCTCCCTCTCCCACTCTCCCTGCTTGTGTTCCCTCTCTCGCTGTCTCTCTCTCTGTTTAAAAATAAATTAAAAAATCTTAAAAAATAACCACAGTAGCAGTGTTTGTTCTAAGTCTAGTCTCTTAAACAGAAGAAGACATATGTTTAAAATAGAGTGACAAGTGCTCTTCTGGGAGTCAGGGAAGGCTTCGCAGGGAGTATGGCCTAAGCCCACGCTCTAACAAAACCTCTGTAGAATATATATGGCCCCTGCTACTCTGCCTCTTGTTTTTCTTCTACCAGCAGATTTCATATTGAGCCATTTGTTGTAAGGTGAATAGTCAAGTGACTCTTACCTGTGCTTGTTATTTTCTAGCTTGTCCAGATTATCATCAATACCACACACTTGGAGAAATCCTGTAAGTACTTGGAAGAATTCATCACCAACATCACTAATGTGCTTCCAGAGACAGTCCACACCACCAAGCTCTATGGCACCACAACTTTTAAGGTGAGAAGGCCCTATGGCTTCTGGTGTGCATAGTCTGGGGCATTCTACCTAAATGGCTTTGTTTCTCCCAAGATGCATAGTAGTGTGATTCACAACATGGTTTTGAGAATAAGTGCTTATGATTTCCTTAGAAAAACAAGTACCAATGCTACTTTCTAGATGTTTAGATTTAAAAATGTCTACAACTCTCTCCACTAAATCTTTCTGTATTTTGTACTTGAAAATGACTATTTCCTCAGTTGGCCCCCATCTTAGTCAGGAGTTCTTAAGTATGGTCTAGATAATAGTGGTTATAACCGAAATCAACATCAATTAAATTTTTTAAATTAGCTGTTCTTGCTTCTCTCTGTCCTGTGTCCAGTTTTTTTGACCTTACTTTTTAGTGAGGAATTTCTGTCCCTTACTATTGTTGTTAGCAATTTTATAATCATTTCACAAGGTGCCAGCATTAGTTTTTTTAAAAATTTTTAATTGTTATGTTAATCACCATACATCATTAGTTTTTGATGTAGTGTTCCATGATTCATTGTTTGTGCATAACACCCAGTGCTGAACGCAGAACGTGCCCTCCTTAATACCCATCACCAGGCTAACCCATCCCCCCACCCTCCTCCCCTCTAGAACCCTCAGTTTGTTTTTTGGAGTCCATCGTCTCTCA